AGAGAGAAGGGAGGTGCTATGCACATTTAAACAACTAGATCTTGTGAGCACTCACTCATTACAAGAGCAGCACCAAGGGGATGGTGCTAACCCATTCATGGGAAACCACGCCCATGATTCAATCACCTCCTACCAAGCCCCATCTCTAACATTGGGGATTACAATTCAACATGAGATTTGGCGGAGACACAGATCCAAATGATACCAAGAAACAACTAAGACAACAACTAAATTGTACCACTCATGTAATGCTTTATTTTCTTGATTCATTCCTTAGTTGTTGTTTTTTTTTTTTTAATTAACAACAAAACAGAATAGCCAGGCATGGTGACTTATGCCTATAGGTCCAGCTACTTGGAAGGCTAAGGTAGGAGGATCACTTGAGCCAAGGAGTTTGAGGCTGCAGTGAGTTACGATGATGCCACTAAACTCCAGGCTCAGTGACAGAGTGAGACCCCATCTCTATTTTTAAAAGAATAAATTTCAATTAAAGACATTACTCAATTCCAGTAAAACAATGTGTCTGTGAAATAAATTAGCACTTATCAAAAATAATACATTTTGCTGTTTCCTTATTTTAAATATTAAACATAATAAGCCACATATAATGGCAGGATTGAAGTAACTGAAGCTCTCTTCCTCAGACACTACTTTGCTGTGGTATTGTTTATGTTAAATCTGTTCTCAAAATGTAGGTATTTATATTTAGGGATTGGAGGCACAAGGCACACTCAAATTGAGCGCTAAAGATTCTGAACCCGGCCAGGCATGGTGGCTCACGCCTGTAATCCCAACACTTTGGGAGGCCAAAGTGGACAGATCAGGATTGGCAGCATGCACCTGTAATCCCAGCTACCTGGTAGGCTGAGGTACAAGCATTGCTTGAACCCAGGAGGTGGTGGAGGTTGCAATGAGTCAAGATTGTGCCAGTGAACTCCAGCCTGGGTAACAGAGTGAGAGTCTGTCTTCAAAAAAAAAAAAAATTACTCTCAAAATAAATGCATTTAGTTGAGTCTTTGTATGAGACAGAGACATGGAGAGAGACAGACAGTGACAGAAAAGCAGAGATATTAGGAGGACAACATGGAATCTTTTCAATAATCTTCCACACAGAAAAAAATAGTAAAGAAAAATAAAAATGTGCTAATTTGAAAATTGCATTGGCTTTATTAAAATTTCAGCAATAATCATGAGAATTTTTTATAATTTAGAACAATAATTTTTTTTCAGATAGAAGCATTTTATCACTAAGCACATGACAGTAATAAAAAGCAGAAATACTTTTATTCTGGCTTTATCATTGTTTTAAAAGATCTAACGACGATGCACTACTTATTGTTTACTGCTGAGCAAGCTCTACCCATCACCTGGTCCTTGGCATGCCACTCAGTAGAGGTCAGAGAATCCCCTTTCTTCCACTCCAACAGAATCCCAACCAGGGAGAAAAATGACCACTTCCTTCCCCCCATTCCCTTTCCTTCCTTCCTCCCTCCTTTTATTTATTTTTCTTTCATCCTCTTTCCTTCTTCTTTCTTCCTTCCTTTTTCTTCTTTCCTTCCTTCCTTCTTCTCCTTCCTTCCTTCCTTCCTTCCCTCCCTCCCTTCTTTCTTTCCTTCCTTCCTTCCTTCCTTCCTTCCTTCCTTCCTTCCTTCCTTCCTTCCTTCCTTTCTTTCTTTCTTTCTTTCTTTCTTTCTTTCTTCTTTTTCTTTTTCTTTCTTTCATCTTGCTCTGTTGCTCGGCTCACTGCAACCTCCGCCTCCAGGGTTCAAGCGATTCTCCTGCCTCAGCCTCCTGAGTAGCTAGGATGACAGGTGCGCACCACCACATCCAGATAATTTTTTTAGTATTTTTAGTAGAGATGGGGTTTCACCATGTTGGTCAGGCTGATTTTGAACTCCAGACCTCAGGTGATCCACCCGCCTCAGCCTCCCAAAGCTCTGGGATTACAGGCATGAGCCACAGCGCCCAGCCTGACCAATTTCTAATATAAGGTTATTTATTGCATTTGTAACTTTGTATATTATTCCATCCAGTTAGGATAGTAAGACTGTAGCATAAATCCTATAACCTCAGGGGCCTGGGATAACATTGGGGTTGGCTCGGAAAGTCAACAGGTAGGCTTAGGACTTTTCTTTGACATAGGGACACCAGTTAGAGAATTCTTACAGAAGCTGACTGCATTTCAAAGTCCTCCCTGAAAGCTATCTAGCTTTGTTAAACATTATCTGGTACCCCTTATACCTCCTTATTCCTCTCCCAAGTAAGCTGAATTCAAGATATCCAATTGTGCCCACTTTTTCATGGACTTCATGGTCTTTCCAAATAAGTTCAAAGTCACAAGATGTTTTGGACATAGGAAATGGCCTAAGGATGGTCCAATTTAATACTCAGGGGTTTGGGCCAGAGACAAGTCATGCAGTCTTAAAGTAATGCTTATGTGTGCTATAATGCCAGTGGCCATTAGGTAATACCCCATGCCTAGGTGGACTTACGCAGACTTGACTTTGCTTTCAGTAGATGGCACTAATCCATTACCTAACATTTTGGATGTGAACAGTCAGGATTAAACTATGCCAAAGCATATTTCACCCCCATAAAAAAACTACTTGCAAGGCTGCATTCCGGATGTTTCTAATAAACAAGTATAATGTGATTATCTCTTTAAAATAAATCTGTGACTAAATCTTCCAGAATTTTATGACTGGGGTTTTTTAGTTTCTAACTCTTGTGTTAGGATTGGTCTAACACAAGTATATATGGACAATGACCAGATCATATATGGTAAAATATGAAAAAAGACAGAAAAGAGTCTTAGTAAAAACCACTGGTATGGATTTGATTTTGTGTGTGTGTTGTATGTCTTCTGCTCTTTGTCATTAAAGACTAAAGCCTAATTAGAATGAAAAGTAAACTGAACAATAACACACTACTGCTACTACCGCTACTAATTATAATAATCATCACAGCTAATTTTGAGTATTTACCGTATGCCAGTCACTGTTCTAAGACTTTTTTATTCAACTTGATACTAGAAAAATACTTATGAGGTTGGTATCACTTATTACAGAATGCCAACCTACTAGTTTTGTGACAAGGAACTCACAACCTGGGAAGTGAAACCACAGCCTCTGCAGAAATCAGCTTAAAAGGTCAGGAGTTGGTCAGGGACTGCCAGCTTCTCTTCCCCCTCCCCAACTCAGGGCCCACCTGAGAAAGCCCTAAACCAATCATATAAGAAGCTGTCTTTCTAGATGACCTGCCTCCAGCTCCTCCATGCCAATATGCTCCAAGCAGAGCACAACGAAAGCCTTTCTCTTCCCACTATTATTAAGTATAATTGCATGGGTCAGAGTTAAACAAGCAAGGAAAACTTTATTCAAGACAACTGCATTAGAGGCCAGATGTGGTGGCTCAAGCCTGTTATCCTAGCACTTTGGGAGGCCAAGGCAAGTGGATCATTTAAGGCCAGCCTGCACAACATGATGAAACCCCCGTCTCTACTAAAAATTAAATAACTAAATAAAATATTCTGGTGTGGTAGCATGCATTTGTACTCTCAGCTACTGGGGAGGCTGAGGCAGGAGAATCGCTTTAACCCCGGAGGCAGAGGTTGAGTTGCAGTGAGTCAAGACTGCATCATTGCCCTCCAGCCTGGACAACAGAGCAGGACAGTCTCCAAAAACAAAAACAAACAAATCAAACCAAACAAAAAAAAAAACAATTGCAACTGGGGAGAGAGATTAAACTCCAATTCTTTGAAACAAAAGGTGGGAACATTTTAAGCATTAAGGTGAGAATGTTAAAAGTGTGATTATGTCATAAATCAATGTAATTATGTCATACATATTTGCTGATTGGCACTTTGAGAAGTTGGGCTTCTACCCTCCCGCAGAGACTGAAAGTTAGAGACGTCTGGTTTTGTTTGTTTGTGTTTTTGTTTTTTTGGTAATTACATTTCAAAGGGATGGCTCCTAGGTCCTTAAGAAAAACTTACCAGGATCTTAGATTTGTATTTCAAAGGAGCAGAGAAATAATTTACAGTTGGAAGTCTTCTAAAATAAATGCTCTAAGAAAAGGGAAGTCAGGGACCTACAGTCAAGAAGCTTATCTAAAATTTAGCAAAACTTAGAAACTGGTAAGATCATCTTGGTCACTATAAAGCTTTCCTATTGCCCTGCCTGCCTTCGCTTCTAGCTAAGCACAAATGATGCTGGCTGACTCCCTTACTATACCAAGCTCTGCAAACACAGCCTCTGTTTGTTCTACTTTTGGGAAGGCTTCTCCTCAGAGTTCTCTTGTTCTCTTTTAACATTAGAAATCTAAGTTTGAATTTGGTTAATTCCTTGCTTTGAAGATGACCGAGTCTTAATGTTTTGTTTGTGACTATTGGCTGCATCATGCCTGAAAACTGACCATAACTCCTCAGTCTCTCCAAAGTAATCTGGACTTTGCTATCTTTAACTAGAAAAGTAAATTCACAGATTTGCCCTCCCTAATTACAGAGCGAAGTACTGACTGCATTTATAGAGATGTCATGGTGTTCAGGAGTCACAGCCCTTTGTTTACTTATCAGAATCAGTTGATTCAAATTCTGGCTTCACCTTTTTCCCACCCCTTACAATTTATCACAAGTGGCTGACAAGTCCTGACAGCCTGTAGAGGTGTTGCAATTCTGCAATGTGTTAATGACTTCCCGACTTTTCACCCTTATAAGAGTTTTGAGGATGTATTATTTCATATTCCTAGATATGAAATAGTCACATTTCTGAAATAGTTTGAAATTCAATGATGAGTCAATGGCTCATTGGGACAAACTTTAAAATAATAAGGCTCTTTAAAAAGACCTCTCTTTCACCTCCTGTTATCTTTAAATATTTTCAAATTTCTACAAATTATTATCTTCATGACACTGTTAACAATTAATAGGGAATACAGAATAAATAAACTTTTTAGTTTTGGTAAGTGGCAAAATAGAACACAGAACTAAATATGAGAATATGTCAATGTTTCTCAAACTTTAATGTGAATCATCCAATGATCTTGACAACGCAGATTCTGATTCAGCAGATTTGGAATGGGGCTTGAGATTCTATGTTTCCAAACGTCTTCATGGAGATGCCCAGGTTGCTGTTTCACAGAAAACATCTTGAGTAGCATATGTGTGTTTATATTAAGACAATACTCAGAAAAGATACAGAGGTTACATTAATACTACTTTATATAGTTTATGCTTAGAAAAATGTATGTATATATTTAGGTATATACACATGAAAATATAATAAAATAAAGCCATATTTGGCTGGGCATGATAGCTGAGGCCTATAAGCCCACCGTGTTAGGAGGGAGGCCAAGGCAGGAGGATTGCTTGAGTCCAGAATTTTAAGACTGGCCTGGGCAACATAGCAAGGCACTGTCTCTATAAAATAAAAACAAAACAAAACAAAACAAAACAAAAAACTCATCCTTGAAACATGCCAAATATTAAAAGAGATTTGGGGTCATCTGTACATTTTTGTTTCCTTAATAATAACTTCCTTTTTCTTCATAATATTTCCCCAATTTTATGCAGTGTGAATAACTTTTTCTTTGAATAAAAAGTTTTTTTTTCTTTTTCAAAGCAAAGAGCCACATCAAATTTTATCACCACGCACTGGTAACGTCCAACAAAAATAAGCAGCAAGTCAAATGTAATTCTTCCCAAAAGGAGATGATGGTTGTAAACAAAGAGTTTCAAGACAGGGTGACACTTGCCTGATTCTGGTGGCTATGCAATTCTGACATTTGTCTTATGGTCACTGGAGTGGCTTCTGGAAGTCTTTGATGTGGTTCATCCACCAAACACGATTTTAGATAATCTTATTTTTTAGTGGAGTAGAGGTAAGATCAAACAGCCAAGGCCCAGCCATTCTCAGAGATTTCTTGGTATTGAGGATGCCCAATTCACTTTGGATGAATTCCCAGGTCACTTGTAAATGGGATAAGATTTCTCAGGCTCTTCCCATGACAGGGTTCTGCTTGGATCAGGAGCACCTGTGAAGCAGATTCAACAGTATTTCAACTTACTATTTTTTGTTTCCAGTGTGAAGGAAATCCATAAACATGTTGCAGGCAATTAATAGGGAAGTTGAGTAAGTGCTTTAAAAATAAATTTTCATTGCTTGGAACACTGTGAGGAAAGGAAAAAAAAATCGCTTAAAATGAATTCAAACATATTTGGTTTAAAGGAGTTAAGCTAACTTGACTAAGTGCATTTCTGGCTGAAAGACAAAATGAAAACAAATTGTGTCTATTCTCCTTCTCTAGACAACAGGGTATCAGATTGAAAATCCCAGAGGGAAAACAAACTAACCTGACAAATCAAAGAAAGTATTCAAAGCTATCTGCCCAGACTAAGTGGTATGTAAAATCTTTTCATACCACTTAGTTCTGGGCAGGAGGGAGCTTGGCTCAAAGAGCTAAGGTATACTATGCTTAACAAAGCATAGTATACCTTAGCTCTTTGAGCCTTAGCATGAGTCCCTATACAAGATGTGAACGTCATTTCTAAGGAATGTAAGAAATATACTTGCTGATCCATTAAAGGTTTGGAAAAGCTAGAAATAAGTCATGTCTTTCAGGAGTACAGAAGAGTCTTACTAAAAACCACTGGTTTGGCTTTCAATGGATTTCTTGTGTTATACAATTTCTGCTCTTTGTTACTAAATAAAAGTCTAAAGCCTAGTTACGATGAAAAGTGAACTAAATAATAACCATGCTAATAATAAAAATGTGACTAACTTCAAGCATTTATTGTATGACAGGCAGGATTCTAAGTATTTTAATTTAACTTAATCCTCTCTATGAAGAGATATGAAAAAAACTCTATGAAGTTGATATGATTTATTGTCCCCACTTCAGGAATCAGGACACAGAGGCACACAGAAATAAGGCACCTTTGCCCAAGGACACACAGTTAATAAAGAGGTAGAGCCAGTTTTGAACCCAAGCAGCTGAGTTCCAGAGCCTGCCTCCAGAGGAGGCAACTGAGTGATGCTACTTACCATTTTTGGTTATTGTGAAAGAGACTTGGTTTTGTTCTCTATATTCAATGATCAGTCACCTGGGGCATGTGATGATTCAACCGAATTAATAAACTCAGGTCTGAAACTTTTATGCCACGCAGGTTAATCTCACACTGGAGTCAGGCAGGTTGTTAGGAAAAGAGATTCATTTTAAGGGTTGAATCTTTTCTACCTGTCAAGCAGTTTTGAACACAAATGAGCTCATATGCTGAATTCCTCTCCCAAGTGAGGGTCTCACAGGCCTAAGAACTGCTAATGATGATTCTCCAGGCAAGGGGCCTTGCAGAATTCAGGAACATCACGGTGATTCTAGCACTTTTCATAAACACCAATTAGAAAACCTAGGATATCCTCGGTCATCTTTTGACCCCTAAATAAGGGTCAAATAAGTCCTTTAATGGCCACCCCAAACCTTTAGGAGGGAGATGACCATATTCTTCATTCACTTAGTAGGCATTAGCAATTACTAGCTGTGTGACTTACATGTGCTATATGACCTCTAGGCCTAGAGGTCTTGAGTAAAACAGGGGTGTCTTATCTATCTGGCCTGCCAGGAGACAAGGGGTGGACCAGATAATTTTCTGAGAACATTTCAAGCTCTAAACTAAAAATGAAGGCAAAAAGGAAGACTGGGAAGAAGGCACTTTTCAACCATTTGCTCATCAAAAGCCAGAGTCCTCCTTGCTTTGTTAATTCTTGCAGCAAACTCCTTCAGTAGTGGTAAAGTCAAGCAGTTCACCTGGAGAGGGCTGCTTTGCTCCTCACAGAGCTGCAACCAAGCCAAATACTAAAGAGTTAATTCAGATGGTATTTAATAATAAAGAGGAATAAACAAAATAAGAAAAATTAGTTGTTTCAGTAGTACCAGAAGAGATTTTTTTAACTACACAAGGAGAGTGGTATTATCAATCCATTCTTGACTATAAGTCTCATTAATGAAGAACTATGGAAAAGAAGACATGCACTCATGGCAAACTACATATTGCCATACACCTTTAGATCAGAACATTTACACGCAGTATGTTTAATATTAAAATTAAAGATTTCTGATAAATGCATGTTTACAGGATTAAATTAGCTATCGTTTGTGGTAAAGCCTTTTTAAATAGAATTTCATGGTATTTAAATCTTAGTCTTCTGTTCCCTACTCTTTCTTTCCCTAGCTCCTCTCTTTTTCTTTCTAACACGGAAATGTGGGGGAGAAAAATGAAAAGTGCACATCAGAAGAGAGTCACTTGCTGCTTTGGTTTTATTTTTTATTTTCCCATTTCTCTTTACTTTCTATTTTTGGCTTTTAAGTCAAGCCTCTCTCCTACACTCACTCCCACTCTCTTTGCAGAGAGCAGACTTCAAACTTCACTTCTGCTTCTAGGTCCTAAACAGAAACAAGAAGGTGGGAGCGGGGTGGGGGAGTGTAACAGAAAAGAGATCAATCGAGTTACCGCAAAATGCAAATTAACAGGTTTGCTCATTTCAAAACTCCCACATTCTGCCAATTTGAAGATATCTTTTCTCCCCCTCTTCTGAATTACTTAGCTCCCCAGACTCCCACGGAATTCAAACCACAAAGAAGGTATTATACTGCTTACAGTTCTTATCTGCCTCTCTGAAGCGCTGCACCAGCCTCTGGAAAGGTTCCTTCTGCAGGTTAATTGCAGCTTGGAGTTCCCAGAAGAGCATTTTCTTTTAAGGATGATCGCTCATCCACCGTCCCGGAACATTTCTCGGGCTCCTCTTTAGAGTCTAATCTCCTCCTCGAGCCAGCTCCTTGGAGACTGTGAAACCCTCCTCTCCGCGGCGTGGAGCCGGGGTGCCTTTCTTCGTGCCTGGAGAGCCCGGGGTTCAGCAGGGCCCCCGGCGCCCCCCAGGCGGTCTCTCTCTACAGCTGCGAAAAGTGAGCGCGGTCACAGAGTGCTCCTCAGTCCTCGTGGTCATGCGACCCTTGGCCCACGAGGTCTGCAACACTTCTTGCGTTACCTGATAATCCTCCACCCGCACCAGCACGTATTTGGGTGGGTCTGCTGGGTCCCGCGGAGGGGCTACACGCCTGCCAGAAATTCGCTTTTCTCGTTGAAAGACATGAGAAGAGCAGTTGGGCTCCTGGCCCTGGTCCTCGCCACCCGCAAGAGGAAGGTCCTCTCCCCCGGCCATCGCTTCCCGTGCAGGGTCCCCTTGAGTCCCTAACCACCTCTCTGGGTGCAGGAGAAAGAGCACTTTGTCTCTGACCCAGGACTCACGGTCCATTTCCTCTCCGGCCCGAGGTCCGAGGGTCCGACCTGCCGACTTGCCCTCGTGGCCGCCGTCCAGGCTTCTGCTCGCCCCTGCCGTCCTGGGATTCGGGGCGCCCGGAGCCAGTGGAGCCCCGCGCTCCACCTCGCGCGGGAAAGGCCTGCGGGAGGAGTCCGTGGGATTCGCAGCTCCCTGAGGCCCCCTGGTCCCCATTCTAGCAAAAGAGTCATTCATTCGTTCGTTCTTTGACCGGTTCCGGCAGCGAGCGCCTGCTGGGCTCGGGAAAGCGCGGGACCAGCAAACCCTGGGTGTGGCCCCTGCGGCCGCCCCGGACTCCCCGCCCGCGAGAGCTGGAGATTGGATCAGCCCTAGGCCAATCGCACGCGGAGCCCGCCTCCCCGCGCCCCGCCTCGCCCACCTCGCGGCCGTCTAGCAATTCAAAGAGGAAGCTGACACAAGCCCCAGTCGCCGCTTCTTCCTCCTACCCCTGTCCGGAGCCCTGCCCCCTTTGTCGTTCTCTGATTCAGTCCCCTCTTCTCACGTCGGTCCTAGTTTGCCACCCTCCTTTCGTTTTTCTCCGGAGCTGAGGCTTAAAGGACACCTTCGCACTGCGCCCCCCTTGTATGCCCCGAAGTATGTTTGCTTTCCAAGGACACTCCTTGAGGTGAAGGAACAAGAAAGTTTGTTTGCATTTTAATTATCTGATATAATTCTAAAAAGGGTTTTGTGTCCACTCCGAATCCACTCCCACCATGCTGCCAAAGTGGAATGTAGGTAGATCAAAGGGTCAGACTGAAAAGCTGAAGCCTTGGAGAAATTGGTTTTGGTTTCTTTGACCTTATTCCTTTGGAATGCCAGGATCTGGAAGACATCTGGAGCTCTGTCTCCCACTCCCTCACCCCCTGTCCTCCCTTCTCCTTCTCCTTCTCTTCCTTTTCTCCCTCTCCCTCTCAGCCCCTTAGGTAGCCGGGACTACAGTCTCATACCCCCATGCCCGGCTTTTACTTACGTTTTTATTTTCTAGAGATGGTAGAGGTGGGGCTCTCCTATATTGCCCAGTCTGGTCTCAAACTCTTGGGCTTATGAGATCCCAGGATCCCCACCCCACCCCCACACCTGCCTGGGCCTCCCAAAATTCTGGCATTATAGGCTTGAGCCACCGCCCTGGCCAGTCTTCATTTCGTTTGAAATGAACCCTTTGTCTCAGAAAGGTGTAGTCTTTGATTTAAAACAAGCTACAAAACAGAAGCAAAACAAACATCCAAATGAATTTTTTTCAGGACTTAAAATTGTTTGTGTTTGTGTCGTTTATAAAATCCCCTCTGCACCCACCCGTCCTCTTTAACCACGGGTGTTATGTATCTCTGGAGAGGCTTTCAGAATTTCATAGGCAGGCCCGCTGGACACACTACTCTTTCCCTAAAGGTAAGGGAGGTGGGGGCGCGGTGGCTCAAGCCTGTAATCCCAGCACTTTGGGAGGCCGAGGCGTGTGGATCACGAGGTCAAGAGATCAAGACCATCCTGGTCAACATGGTGAAACCCCGTCTCTACTAAAAATACAAAAAATTAGCTGGGCATGGTGGCGCGTGCCTGTAATCCCAGCTTCTCAGGAGGCTGAGGCAGAAGAATTGCCTGAACCCAGGAGGCAGAGGTTGCAGTGAGCCGAGATAGCGCCATTGCACTCCAGCCTGGGTAACGAGGGAAACTCCGTCTCAAAAAAAAAAAAAAAAAAAAGAAAAAGAAAAAGAGCTCAGTTTGTGGTTTCCAGTTTATCCTTAGTAATAGCTGCTTGTTTTATTTAAAAAAAAAAAAATTGTTGGCTGAGTATGGTGGTTTATGCCTGTATTCCTAGCGCTTTGGGAGTCTGAGGTGGGTGGATCCACTTGAGGCCGGGAGTTCGAGACCATCCTGGTCAACATGGTGAAACTCTATCACTACAAAAAGAACAAAAATTAGTTGGTTATGGTGGTGTATACCTGTAATCCCAGCTATTTGGGAGGCTGAGGCACCAAAATCACTTGAACCTGAGAGGAGGAGGTTGCAGTGAGCCAAGATCACACCACTGCACTCCAGCCTGGGCATTACAGCAAGAATCTGTCAAAAAGGAAAAGAAAAGAAAAAAAGAAAGACAGAAAGAAAGAGAAAGGAAGGAAGAAAGGAAAAATCCAAATCCTGCCTGATTTAGAAAAATGAGTGCAATGGTGAAAAATTCTGCCCATATATAAAAAACAAAGTAGAATGGTGAAATATTTGGAAAGGAAGGACTTCTGATATCTGCCAAATCATATAAATAAACAAAGTGATAGAGGAGGGGTGTGAAAATCTGGGTCAGCTCCGGCTGTTTAGAAGCCTAACCTTAGTGGGCACAGTGGTGCCTACTGGTAATCCCAGCTGCTTGGGAGGTTGAGGTGGGAGGATCCCTTGAGCCTAGGAGCTGGAATCTGGCCTGCACCGTATGAGACTCTTGTCTCTTAAAACAAAAAATAAAAACAAAAACAAAAAAATACACATGCCTGACCTTGAGCTGGGTACTGCTCAGTCACAATTAACTAAAATTTTTGAGTGTTTTAGCCAAGAACTGTTCCAAGCAACATATTTATTCTTCACAACAAACTGTGGAAGTAGTACTATTTCTTTGGTCTCCTTGAAATCTTTGAAGCACAAAGATGGTGTGCCCAAGGTCAAACACCAATAAATAGTGGAGCAAAGATTCTAATTTATTTAAATGCTTTTTCCAAAATGTCCTCTAAATTACCTTCGTAATTTAAGCCTATGACTTCATCTTCTTTTCTGTTCATTTACGCAACCACTAATTACTAACTATATGCTACTCTTCTAGGTGATAGGCATCTGGAGGAACAAGCCAAATTCTTTATCCTCTTAGGGTTTTTTTTTGGAAACGGAGTCTTGCTCTTGTCACCCAGGCTGGAGTGCAATGGCACAATCTTGGCTCACTGCAACCTCGGCCTCCTGGGTTCAAGGGATTCTCCTGCCTCAGTCTCCCAAGTAGCTGGAATTATAGGCACCCAAGCTACGCCTGGCTAATTTTTGTATTTTTAGTAGAGATAGGGTTTCAGCATTTTGGCCAGGCTGGTCTTGAACTCCTGACCTCATGATCTGCCTGTCTCAGCCTCCTAAAGTGCTAGGATTACAGGCATGAGTCAGCACGCCTGGCCTTTTTTTTTTTTTTTTCCTTCTTTCTTTTTTTTTTGTAAGACAGAGTTTTGCTCCTGTCACCCAGGCTGAAGTGAAATGGCACAATCTCGGCTCACAGCAACTTTACCTCCCAGGTTCAAGCAATTCTCCTGCCTCAGCCTCCTGGGTAGCTGGGATTACAGGAGACTGCCACTATGCTCAGCTAATTTTTGTATTTTTTGTAGAGACAGGGTTTCACCATGTTGGCCAGGCTCATCTCGATGTTGTGACCTCAAGTGAGCTGCCTGCCTTGGCCTCCAGAAGTACTAGGATTACAGGTATGAGCCACCACACCTGGCTAAAGTTTTTATTCTTATACATGCAGTAATATATATCAATCCTCTGTCCCAAACTAGGAGATTATCAATTAACTTTAATTTACATGAAGATCACCTGCAGTTCAATGTCCTATTCTACTTACAAAGATTCTGTTCTTATAGGTTTGGGGTAGGGATTAGCATATAGATTTTTAGCAAGGCCCTCAGTAATTCTAAACCTAGTGGTCTATGAACATAACGAGAAGCATTTTCAAAAATATGTATAGACTCTAACACTTTTGCTTACTTAGAGTGGCAACAAGAATACTATATTTTCTTTCTGTGAAGAATATTGTGAGACTTCTAATAAGGTGTCTGCACTCCAGCCTGGGTCACAGAGCAATACTCTGTCTCAAAAAAAAAAAAAAAAAGGATAATAAAGCTTCTCTGCAAAAAGAAATGTATTAATTGGTTGTGAAATATGCATCCATCCTATATAACTACATTATTCTTGCCAAGTAAATGCAAAAATTTCTGTAACAGGTTGGGGGAACAAAACTGATACTAAGGGAAACAATGTAAACCACAACATTAATTGCTTTCAAATGTCTTTTTTGCCATTGGGGATTATATGAGATATTAGAATGGGGTATGAGAAAAGAGGAAAAGTTATATGCTGAAGAATGAAGCAGACTAATTCATCATATTGCACTTGAATTTCTAGATGTCAAGAAGTTATGTATTAATGCATGAAAGAACATGAAGGGGAAATGCTAAATAAATCAATCTCCAAAAAGGTAAAATCTAATAAGAATATTAACCAGAGAAACAGGTAGCTTTGCCTCTAGGATAGTGGTGTCTGCTGTGCCTTAATATCTCAAATCCCAAAGTGCCTAAAAGACTAATAGAGGATGCTAAATTGAACCCATTTACTTCCTCTCTGAAGTGCCCATAATAACTGCAAATATGCAGGCTGGTGAGGGGTAATAAAGCAATTTATATTCCTGGAGTCTATAAAGTTATTGGGGATCATCAACACATGATCTGCAGGTAGCACCAAAAGAAGAAGACTTTAATTGATAGCCCAGTCTCCCAAAGAGCAGTCCCACTTATTTTGCCTATTAGAACTAGAAGTTATTTTTACATACTTTTGACACTCTCAGTTACTTGAGCAATTCTGCATTTCGAAGACTTACCCTCCACTTGCAGAACTCTGCCTTTAATTTACACCTGTAGCAATATTTCATAGCTTTTTTTCCCTACCAGATATAACATTCTTGAATGGAAAATTGGCCTATTCAACAGTTTTTCACTTCAGGCAGCCAGGCCATGGTGATCCCAACTGAACATTATCAAAACTCGAAATAGAAGCATCGTTTATATAAAGCCACTCTGTGACCATGTTTGGAACAAGGAAGACCAGACCACCAAAAACCACAAAGAAAATTAAACCTCCCCCACTTAACGGCTAATAGAAATGACTATCAGTCCTTTAATCCTCGTCTTTCCTAGATAAGAATTACCAAGGTACCCTATCACTGAGTTCATCCCACTTCTTTGACAACATCTAATGCCGCACTGGCTCCTGCTTCCTTAAATCTTATTTAGGACTATGATCTCTAGTCCAAATCCTATATAAAGCCCCTCCCAACTCCACTTAGTGAATTATCCCATAATTACTCAAGGGTGCATTCTTACCTGCTGAAGTAAGAAAAATAAATGTAATTTAAATTTTTTTATGTAAAAATAAATGTAATTTTAAAACTGTGATTTTAAATTTTAGTAAGCAAAGACCAGCAAGAACACTCCTGTACTTAAGAAAAATACATTTATTTTTCTTAAGTACAGGAGTGTTCTTGCTGGTCTTTGCTTACTAAAATTTAAAATTTGTCAATGTAGAAAGTATATAATGTTGTACTCCCAAATGAAGTAGGCACATACATTGGAGGTAGAAAGTGAGGGGGACAAATTGGAGTCATAATGGATTGGTAGTTGCTTGGTTACAATCAGCTTGAAGTGGCTCTAGCATTAAGAAATGCAGCAATGCATTAACTGAATAGATATATCAATCAAATAAAACAATAAATTAATAGAACATTACTTTTAAATGGGAAATGCAGAGTGTAGAAAGTAGAGGGACAAAGAAGAACTCTTCTATTTGAGCAAATTAGCTACAGTTTGTGCTTCTGTGTCTGGTTGTAGAGTTAATGTGACACCCTATTCCTTAATAATCTATACAATATTGGCAGATTAGCTGTCTATTAGTGCTTTGGGCAACATAATTCACAAATCCGAGAAGAGTCAGCAAAGATTTTTACTCTTATTGAGTCAGTTGATAAATAATATATTCAGATAATATTTTTCATCTTTAGAAA